GTGGTGTAATTCTACCTGAGTTTTGTATGTATGTGTGAACAAAACACAGTAGTATAATTTGTTTTCCTTCCTCCTTAGTTAGAAACAAATCTCTCCTAAGATTCCATTCAGTTACTGTTGCTCATTTTTGGTAGCTTTATATCATTCTCCATTAAGTGTTTTTAAAAAATATTTAACTATTTGTGTTTCTCTGTGCTGCTGCCGCCTCAAAAGTTCAAGTGTTACAGGTATTCTAGGAAGTGTGTAATGTTTGGCTTAGATAAGGCTAAAGCTTTAGTGTTTCTGTGAAACAATGCAAGTTAAAGATTCGCTTATGTAATACAAACCAGGTATTGTTTTATGTACCCGCTGCAAAGATTGACTAGGAACAAAATAAACAAAGCTGTAGAAGTACTTATGTGACTATTATTTTCTTAATTTGTAAATGGGTAGGCTGTTTCTCATATGTAACTCATGTTTGTTCTTAGAGCTTTGACCAGTATCTGTGTAGACAACTAATTTGACTAGAAAAACATGGCATATATGCTAGTTGTGCCATGATATTTTGCGCATGGTTTTTTTCCTTCACTGTGAGGATTGTTTGAGGAAAAATAAATGGTGACTGTTGCTTTGACTTCTTGATGATATAGAGCAGTAGGAATGTGCAGGACAGATGAAGAGCACTCCACTTGAGTAACTGCAAGAATTGCTGTTGATTGACGCTTGAGGAAAAAGCATTGGTGTAAGTTATTTTTAGCAGCTTTTGTTTTTAGTTTAAAAAGGCAGCTGTTAAGTGGTATGAAATCTCCAGTGGTGTCGTGTAATGCTAGGGGAGGTTCTGGATTTTGGAGAAATGATTACAAGATGCCACAGAAATGGTCAAACTTCATGCGCTTTTGTAGGCATTTTTTAAATTGTAGAAATACTGTAAGAACAAGAGCAGTGAATTACGAGTCCCTGTTTGGAATTCTGCTTAACTTGAGATGTTGTCTGCTAAAGCCATGCTGTATGTATTTGATTTGATAGTTGTCGAGAAGAGTGGGGTGGGGTAATTGGCTTCTTACTGAGTGTAGTACAGTGTTTGTGTAAGATGCTGAACACCTCCGGTCTCTCCAATGCAATCTGTAGAGAGTGCGGTGACTTGACATTTACTAGCTTGTGTTACTGAACTTTTAAAATTTAAAAAAATGTAGTATTGTAGGTACTGAACAGCATATTTGGGAGAGGGTGTGTCAGTGAGTAAAAACAGCTTATCTGGCAGAGCCGTATGTAACTAAACCTACTATAGCAAAAATACTGAACTTTTGGTCTGAGGGTGGTACTAGAAAAATCTCAGCTACTGTTTAATGTTCGAGTGAAGACCTGGGCTCTTGTGCGTTATGTCTGCTGGGGAGGTTGTTTCTGTGGATCAGAGAAAGAAATAAATGACATAATCAAAGCTTTTTGTGAAGGCTGCCACCTGTTTGTAGATACCAGCATTTCCGGAATTAAACCAGCAAGTACTTCAGCTGGTCTCCATTACCATGGCTGCAAATGGAACTAAATTCTCACAATTAGTTTGTAGTTGTGGGAAAGCAGGAGGCTCTCGACCATCTGTGCAGCTCCGGTGCCTTCAGAGTGGAAGAAATGCTGGTGCAGGTCCTCTAACAGCGTTTTCAGTGCATGTCGTGTAACGTGGCTCCAAGCAGCTCTAACACAGTGGGGAAACTTCAGAAAACTTGTTAGTGTAAATAAGGCCAGGAAAGAGATGATGTGTTTTGTTTTCAGGAATTAATATATACATGGTTATATAAATACATTGATTGCTGGATGGTACGGAGGAGCAATAAGGGACTTGGTGCTGTCTTGTGTAAGTCTTTCACTTATTGTTAAGTGGTTAAAATGCTGGATTTCTGTAGGCCATATTTTTAATTACAGTCAAATGTTACTAGTTTCATTTATGTAATAGTGGGTGGACAGAGCAATGATTAAGTAGTTGCTAGAAATCTTGTTATGACTAATCTTGGTTTGGTGTTATTTTAGTTTCTTAGTCTCAGCCTTTATGTACAAGGATTTGGATTTTGCCAAACAGTTGGAATTCTCTTCAGGGGCGTTGCTTTAATAGAGAAGTTAGAAGCCTGAAAATGTTGATAAAGTACTTTATAAATAAAGGTAGGCATTAGTGTTCATTTTTAAGACTGGCGATCCTAATGATCTGATTCATAGGGCAGTGAGCCAGAAGGCAAGGAAAGCAGGAAACCTAGATGGAGCAAGTCTGAAACAGGGTTGTTGAACGTGTTTTTTCTTGTTTAAATGACTCTGGCCGATTGGTGCTGCAGAAACACACTACAGGCACTTCTAAGCTTGGAATGAAATCTCTCACTGCCTCCTTCCTGCGCTGTTTTGATTAGCCAGAGTAGACTCACCAGTTTCAGTGCAAGGTAAGCAAAGGAGCCTGGGTGCAGAGAAAAGTTCTTGATCCACTGCTGAAAATGTTGAGTTTGAAATTGAAATTAATTTGTTAGAAGCTCAAGTTACCTGTAATGAACTTACTGGAAAATGAAGCGTCAGACCAAACAGGTTCTAGAAGTGTGAGAACACGTAGCCTCTGCACCTCAAGAAGTTTCCCAAAGAAGCTGGCTTTTGCCCCTCTCAGTGTTCCGAAGGTTTTCACGTTTGTCCTTTATAAGCTGGACCAGTGTAGCCTGCTTTATAGTGTTGTGAGTGCAATTCAGCAGTGTATTCAAATTGCTCTAACTGGTAGCTCAGGGAGCTAAAATAGCAAGTTGTCCTTATGGGCGAGGCAGAGTGAATAGCTTTCCTTAACTCCTTGTTCTGGCTTGTTACAGAGTCAGTGAGTGCTAGTGCAAGAGATAAGATGGGATCTCCTCTATTTGACAGCTGTTAAATTAGCTTAGCTGTGTTGTCATACTGCTCCCGAATTCTTTCCCACAGAAGTTTTCAAATGGTAAATCCCTTTCCTCCCTCCTGTTACTACAGGAAAATGTTCAGAGATTGTATTTATCAGAATGGAATTAAATGTCCCCTTTTTTGTTGTTGTTCTAGCTTGGTAAAAGAGAGTGCATGCTGAAAGGAAGGGAAAAAAAAATCTCAGACTGTGCAAGGAGTTGGCATCTTTTTTCCTCAGAAGCAGGTGTGAAAAGTAGTGTGGAAAACTGCATGGTATGATCAGGAAAAGTAGTGTGGAAAACTGCATGGTATGATCAGAGAGAGTTGCAGCAAATGGGATGTTGTGCTAGGTGTCAGCTCAGAAACATAAAATTACAATTAAAAAATGGGTGTGTAGGATAAAATCCTAGATACTATTGCACACTGAAGGAATTCTTTTGCAGCTCAAGCATTTAAGGTAATGTTGTCAGATGCTGCTATCTAATAACTTCTTGGGCTAATGTAGTATGGAACTGCTTAAAGTTTAATGGAGAGACTTGTAACAGATTGAGCTACAACATACATGGTAACTTACGGTTGTGACAAAGCTCAAATTTACTTAACCTGCCTTAAATTGTGAGTCACTAGGCAAGGCTGGTTGGTTCGTGTTGAGGGTTAAATAATTTAAAATAATGTTTTGAAGACAGTCTTTGGTAAGTGAAGGGACAGTCCATGTGCCTCCAAACCAAGAGAAGAAATGCAGTGATTGAAGTGGAAGATACATAGTAAAATTCAGATATGAATACCTCAATGTTTGCAGCTGGAGAGCTTGTAAGCCCTTGACTAAAGCTTATTTCTGTGAGTTTTTTTTTTTCTTCTGCAGAAGCTAAAGGATAATAGGATATTTTAAGCAATAGCATTTGGTTCTTGGGTTGGTTTTCTATTTGTGTTTTTTTTAACATTAACTGTAGTTCTAGACTAAAACTTCAATGAGTTCCTTCAACTTGCGAAAGACTTAGTTCAAGAGGGTCATGAGTCAAATGGGCAAGTAAGGTTTCAAAGTTACTGCTGACTTGCTTTGAGCAAATCATTGTAGTGATAAAACATCTGCAAGACAACACTGTTTTCCTTGCATGGGAGTTTGCGTGTTTGCGAAGAGTGATCGGGAAGACTGTAAGGCTGTCTGGGCATTACCGCTTTTGAGGAACTGGTTGCACACTCACCCCCAGAATCTCACTGTTAAAGGATTATGCACTTCAAGTGAGAAGCCAGTATGGGAACCACTCTGCAGTGTCAGAAATGCTCTTTGCAGACTCTCTTTTAAAAAAGAAATACGGTCCAATTTGAAGTTTTCCAAGCCTTTAATTGAAACTGTAACAAAAATTCAGTGGTGGTGTTAATCTAATGTTTGACTCTAGATAAGATGTGGGGAGGAGGGTGGAGAGGGAAGGAGCTGGCTGCCAGAGTTTTGAAGGAAACCTGAAACAGAACCTTGTCCTGCTCCCATTTGAGGCTGTTCAGAATTAGACCTGTGTGGAAAGGTTTGGTGTTCCAAGTTCTCCAATACTGGAATGTAATTTATCTGCAAATCAGTTTGTGAAATGTTTGAATGGTTGACAAATGCATGTAGGGAGTCATTTTGCAATAGCAATAAGTATTAGGAGGATTATAATTTTGTTTTTTTCTTCAAACACTCAAAAGTAATGATGTGTTGAAAAATTATACTTTTCAAGCTTTTTCAAACTTACGTGAAAGTATACCATTTTCTGGAAAAGATAACAGTTTTGGAATTGTGTAAAGGGTATCTGCAAATACTTTTAAGGTTTTAATTTCAGGGGGTTGGAGTAAGGCTGTCTTGATGAGTATTCAGTCAGGTGACTAGCAGATGTTATTAATACTTGTGGGTGTTTTTGTCTAAAGGTTAATGAAATTTGGTAATATACCACTTCACAAAATGGATGTTTATATTAGGTGTGTTTTCATTGTCAGTAATCTTAAGGCTACAGTCTGTTAATTGTTTTCCTGCACAATAGTGACTACTGACACGCAGTTGTTCCTTAGATGACTGGATGTAATCAGTCATCTTCCCTAAAAGGAATATTATTCTTATTCAAGATGAATGTGTTTTACATGTGAACTTTCTCCTTTTACAGTGCTGTAGGTAAAACATGCCTACTCATCAGTTATACAACCAATGCATTTCCTGGAGAATATATACCCACTGTGTAAGTACTTGTAAAATCCTAAGAACTCATTTATGTCAACTTCTCTGTGCTTACTGCCATTCCAGATTCCTTATTTGAATTGTTTAAATTGGCTGCAAGCACCCCTCAGTTTCATCTTAAATGTTTAACTGAGTATCAAGGCATGTGTAAGGAGAAGCGCTTTTGGGCTTTTACTACTTAGCACAGTCATAGCAGTGCTTGTTAGTTCTCCATCAGTTTTGCCTCTCTCTGCCCTCTAGGTCTAGTTTATTAGGGACTAACATTTACTAACATTTTATCTGATGCTGTTCTCTTCTAAAATAATATGCTATTTCTATCTTTAATATCATTCATAATAAGCAGTCCCAAGGCTGAACAGCTTGTGAAACATCGTATCGTAGTCAGACACAGTTGGTTTACACGACTAGATATTTTTTCATTTGTTCTTTCCGTTGTTTGTGCTACTGCCAGTCCTGTGCTAGGCCAGCCACAGCTCTAAAGCTCCTCAGGTGACATTGTGGGGACTCATTTATTTTGGTGCTTCCCATTTTCTTGCATGTAAGGATTTGTCAGTATCAGTATTAGTGTAGTTCTCTTTTTGAGGGACTGTCAGGCGGAGGGGTTTTATTCATGAGCAGCTGCTTTGCCCTTTTTGGATGTGTCTATATTTATCTGGCTATCTTGCTCTCTCTAAGTATTGATGAGTTTTTCAGATAACAAAATACATTCTAATGAGATCTACAGATGACTTCAGTTACCGTTCCAAGGCCTTGTCTTAATTACTCCTGTTTCCTTTTTCTGGTCTTAAATTCAGATTTTTGCATTACAGTACGCTTGTGTTCCCAGTGAACTTAGTTTAGCCGTAACAAGTCCTTAAAACCTTTGCACCTACAGTAGCGATGAGGTAAAAATTATGCCTTTACTTGCCTCTGGTTATTAACTTTGATATTTCATTGGAGGGGTTTTTGATTAGCAGGATTAATAAGGGGTTTTTTTTCCCTTACCTACTGTTGTCATTAAGGATTCCTTGGTTGTTGCTCATGTATCTTCTATTCTAAATCTTACAAAACGAGACAGATTAACTTGCTGAATGTCCCACTAAGACCAGAAAGTGCTTGCTAAGTGCATCACCTGCTTTCCTGTATTTACTGAGATTAACACTTCTTTTGGAAGAGCAATGAAAAAGATGGCTTCTGTTCAGACAAGTCTGTTGTGCATATTTTTTTCCTTCCATTACCCAGTACCAGGCTCAGTATTTAAAGAACAACTTTAATGTTTCTGGGGAGCAGAAGGATGCAATAAAAATGTTTCCTTTCATAGTGTTCCCAGTTAGGACTCT